ATTAGTAACGTATATAAGATAGGGATTATTTAAAGGCGTCTATTTCTATACTAATTACTTTAGAGCGTTAAGATTTCGGGAAACTATATTATAATTATTACTAATTTATATAGATTATTATAAATTATACTATTACTAGCTAAGGATGGTACGAAAATTAGTAAATTATATAAATTATACTAAATTATAGTAAATCTATATAAATCTATATCTATATAGATCGGGTAATATACCTAATAATCTAAAAAACTCTATAAAGAGTTAAGAAGTTTTTTAAAGAAAGGAATATTTCTAAGAAAAGATTTTAATATAGCTAGGACCTAGGCTTATCTAATTATATTACGTAATACGCTAGGCCTAATTAGATAATCTTACCTATATAAGAAGTTAGAATAGATAAAATCTAGTTTATTAGAAAAACGCTTATATAAATCTTAGATTAGTAAATATTAGTAAATATCTAAGACGAAGTATAGAGAATAACTAAGGTCTTATAAGACTTAGAATAGAGATATAGAGATAGATAATAATCTAGGTTACTAATAGTAGCTTCCTAGAGAGAAGGGATAATTATTAGGACTTAGTCTTAGATAGAACCTAATCTATATATACCTTAGCTAATAGGGTTAGAAGGTAACGTAAAGGGCGGTAAATAGTTACGTACTAGATAGATTGGTATCCCTTTATATATATACTCTTAGATTTCTATTAAAAGAGTTCGGTAGTAATTCGTTCTATAATAGAATACACCCTATTATTCTATCTAACTATACTACTATCTAATAACCCTATTCTTATACTTAATAAGATAATTTAGTCTATCTATGTAAACTAGTAGCTTAGAGTAGATAGTTTTAGAAAGATTATTAAGGCTATATTACTAAAGATAGAGGCCTAGTATAAGTTTAAGAAAGAGTTATATAAGGAGAAGATTTAGTAGTTAATTAATAAGGTTCTTACTACTAATAACTAGCTATTTAAGACTTAAGGATTTACTATAAAGCTCGGAATATCTAGTCGTACTAGGAAATAGTTAATACTTCTAGACTAGAGTCTCTTTAACTAGAATAGGCTACTTACCTTCCTTAATAAGATCTATAGCCTAGTAAGAAAGGATCTACTTAAGGCTATATTTCTTATCTTTAAGAATACTATTATCTATAAGTCTTACTAGCTACTAGAACGTAAGAACACTATAGTATCTAATCCGAAGTCTCCCACGCCATTACTACTTAGTAGACTAGTTTCTACTAGTCTAGTATTATTATCTATAGATCTAAATCTTAAGAGATACTTAAAGTAGCTAGTTAAATTATAGAAGGAGAGAAGATAACATAGCCGTAACCAAGGAGTTATTATTAATAATATTTAGAGTAAGCTCTAGTATAGTAAGTCGACGTGTACTAACTACTAGGGCTAGTACTATAAGATTACCTTATCTAATAGAATACTCTACTATAAGGTAGATAAGACTATCTTAGAGCTATAGGCTAATAATATTATTAACGGCGTTTAAGATATAACTAAAGATAAGCCGTTAGTAGAGTCGTTCTATAAGATTATTACTTAACCATGTCTAAAGAAGTCTCGAATTAGTAGTAGAATAAGTACTCTATTAACCTCCGTTAATAGAGGTACTACCTCTATACTCGAGCGCCTTAAAATAAAGAGATTATAACGTAAAGAGGCTAAGTTAGATTATAATAAGTAGAATATAAGACTTTAAGATAAGTAGATAAGGTAGGCGATAATTAAGCGTAAGGAGACGGCGGTAAGATATTATTAAGATAATAAAGACAAGATTATACACGCTTAATTACTCTATTAGATAGAATTATAGCGTTACGGGTTTAATCCTATAATATCTATATAGATACCTACGTTTCCTTAATCTTAGCCTTATTCTATATCTACTTATAGTTCGAATTATTCGCTAACTTATAAGACTTATTATAAAACACCTTCTTAGACACGAGCCGTGGATATCTCCTTTAGTAGTCTAGTATAACTAGAGCGTTACTAAGCTAATATAGTACTATTAGTACTTGAATAGCGTAAGGAGATAGAGAGTTATAATAAGATAAGGGCTAGGATACGCGAATTAAGGCTATACGTAGATAATAACTACTATATATACTACTATATTAAGGAGATAACTTAGTCTAGAACTACTTATTATAAAGCCGCGAAGATAGTAGATATTCTACTTAGTATCTTACTAGACGCACGTCTATATCTTTATAAGTATAAGAAGTAACTTAAGGTAAGTAAGGCGGTATCCTTGCTCTAGGCGTTTACTATAACTAGTATATCTAATATTTAGATAGGGATGGTATAGCGTTTCTTAGAGTATATTTAGAAGTATATATTTATATATTATAACTATATACTCCTTAAATAGTACCTAAAACAGATATATATATAGAGTATTACTAGCTAGCTAAGTAACTTACTCATCGCCAACTTACTAACGAGTAAGTTACGCGATAAGCTTATAAAAAAGTCTCCTAATCTCCTTAACTTTAGTAACCTCTCTACTATCTCTACCTCGTCTAAACCTATCTAAATTAGCTACTACTCTCTACTAGAGCGTCTTATTAATATAAAACCTATCTACGGTATATTTAAAGAAGTATATAGCCTACTAATTAGCGTAGCTATATATAAATATAATATAGAGAAAGTCCTTAAAAGTTTGAGATTATTAACGTGTCTAGGTATACCATCTATAAATCTACGTCTTTATTACCGCCTATATAAGCTTAATAGGGTTAAAGTTAGATAAGTATAGTAGCGTATACCGTATAATATAGCTAGTACTAAGTATAAGTAGTTTAATCTATTAGTTTGTATAAAGTACGAGATTATCTATAATAATTATTATTATACGCCCGAGGTATTTTACCTTAAGAGTAGGTAGTAGATATATCTATAACTAGGTATAGAACTCTTCTATTAAGAAATAACCTTTCTTTATCTAATAGTAGATAAAACTATTAACTATAATAGTACTATAGACGCTATATATAGGTCCTTAATTAAGAGTACTAAACTTAGTTAGAGTCTATTCTTTTAGTACTCTAGCTCAACGCCTCTATCTAATTTTCTTATTAAATATAACCTTATCTAAGAACACATACGAGTCTACTAGTAGCTCTACTATATTCTTAAGATATAAAGCGTATACTATCTCTAAGCGTATACTACTAATATATTTTAATAGCTTATAATCCTAGCCTCGCTTAGATAACTCTTTAGATAGAAGCTACTTAGATATAGTAAGATTAAACTCTTTATATACCTATCTAGCTATCTTATTAAGGTATAACTAGCCCTTATAAAGTAGTCTCTTAAGTAGTTATTATATTATATAATTACTTAGTTAACGAGGTAGACCACGATATAATAACCTTAGTTTATTCCTCTATCTATACGTGTTAAGGTTAAACCTTATTCTATATACTATATTCTTACTAACTTTAGTAAGAGTAATAATCTTATTAATAGGTATATTATATTATAGAAGGAAGTCGATTCGTCCGTATATAGAAGAGGGATAAATAATACCTTAGGGTATTATATACGCGCGCATTAGTAAGTTAAAAATACTAAATATTATCTATACTAACTCTTATATACTATATTATATAGTTATAGACTCTATACGAGCGTAGTACGGCGATAATGTTGTAAAATGTCAATTACATATAAAAACGCGTGTTGGTGACATAGCGCAGCATTGGGCGCCAAGCTTTCCCATGCAACTATGGATATACGGATAGTGGTGGCGTTTGCGTTCACAAAGCCACGAGGGCGGGGCTGAACTGTCGCGTGAAAACCCTGGGGCTTCGCCGCCACCATTAAATCAGGTTATAACCGGCGGACAAAACCGATGCCGACTTGATCACCTCACAAACACATGTCCATCGTTACATAAGAGAGCAAAAACAACCGAGAAAAAGATGATGCAACATCCGGATTTGTCTGTGTCTTAGGGCTGCTATCTATCTTCCTCCGCCCATCTTATTGTAGTATTAACAACGCCACCCAGACTATAGCCTCGTCCGATGCTCTAGCAAAATTCTTAGACTACAGAACCCGGGAATCCGCGTCCTCCATGAGTGATCTTCCGATGAGCTGTCGGATTTAGCTTCCTACCTGCGCGATGTAACTCTAATTCTGCGCAAATGTCATTCTTTTTCTTTGGCGGCTGGCTAGCACTAGAAAATGGCTAAATTCTGATATCTTTGTCACTAGTACGAAGCTGCCATCGGATACGTTCATGCTCTACTTTGGCATTGTTGGTGTACTTCCCTTCAACTCCAAGACGCTAACATGCCTCGTTGTGTTACTAATGATGCAAAGCCGATATTCAGAGGTTAATGCAGAAGGTCGGCAGTGTGAATAAAAGAGTGTCTAGCAAAGGTACTTTGTTATTTGCGTCACGGAGATGAGCTTTGGCAAGTCTATCAGCCGTGTCGAGCACTGGTGACATGTGATGTGCGATTCATTAGGGATATGGACCACCTACAAAGTACAACGTCACCTTGATCGTATATCGGAAGGACCTCCTTATCAATTCTGTTAGGAACTAGATAAGCTAGCAAGGAGGGAGCAGAACTCGCCCTTGTCGCTTGGAGGTATTTTAGCCAAGGTTTGCCCGGTTGCTGTTAATGTAGCGATTGACTAAACGAAGACTTTAATTTGTGCAGAACCGAAGTAGACTACAGCAATGTACTATGACTGTGAACTGTATAGGTAAAGTAATGCTCGAAGCCTCTGCCGGGGTTGCCTTCGGTATACATGTTAGGACTTACCTAGGCTCATAAGTGTAGAAAGTGTGTACATTGGCCGGTCTTGAATTATAGCGTCGAGGAAGCTCTAAGCCAATCCAGAAAGTAATTAGTGTATCAAAATTCCTGTGCAGCTTGATTTCGTAGTTTGTTATTTGTGGCGCAGATACTTTTCAGCCACTGCCCGTGTGGCACTTTGGTCGGAACCTCGGATTTAAAAAAAAAGGCAAGATAAGGCACAAGAGACAAGAGCTCCGCGAATTTGCAGATCCAAAGTCTACACCGCCAACACATCAGCGATAATTGTGTGTCCTAGCGATATGACCGAAAAACGCAAAAGGCAATCTACTGGACTAGAAAGACCCGCGAAAAAAAGTGCGATCGAGCTTCAAGAACTTGGTCCAATCCTTGGTGGGCTCTTCCTATACTATACATATGCACACTATACTAATGTTCAGCATTCAGCTTCCACACCATGCATTTCGCTACCGCGCGAGGCTCAATTCCAGACGTACCTGAAGGAGGGCAAATTGTCACGCAGTAAAGAGCTTCTTCTCTACTCCTCAAACCATGATGAATTGGACTACATCATGAGAGAAGAGGAAGATGGGCACACTAAGCACTACATCGGCGTATATGATCCTACAACTGACAAGCTACTGAGAGTTATTGAGGTACCACGAAGGTTCTCAGTAAGATGCTCACTCCGTCGCGAAACGCAAGAATCGCAGAGGGAAGGGGATCTTCAAAGACAGCGAGCTGCGCAAGCATCGGTATGCAATTGACAACAGGTGTCTCGCTCCTGGCATTAACGGTGCTACAGAACATGAATGCGCGCAACGCGCTTGGCTTGGAATTTGGGGGAGCGAAGGCAAAGAAGCAAATCAAGAGCCTCACAGAGAATGCTATCACGTCGACAGAGATCGATGGCGTAGCTCCCACAGCCGATGCTGCCACGGCCGCTTTGATTAGCTCTATTGTTCATTCTACTGCCGATATGCCTTCTCAAGAGACTGTGCAAGCTGAGATAGCGGCGTCGAGACCGAGGCCTATCGCAAATCTAGCCACGAAGAATCTACAAGAAGTCTACACAATTGAGAGTCTTATTCCAGCAAGTTCTCTTATCTCGCTGGAAATCAACGACTGGATAGAAGATCCAGACAACATCGAGGGCAGTGCAAGCAGATTTGTGGCAAACCGTGTCATGAAAATCGCAAGGAGTGGAGACACGACAAAAGTTAAAGCCCTGAGATACATCCTGCACCTGCTGCAATTCCACAATTCTCTTCCTCGGAAAAGGCTTCCATACAAATTACCCAAGAGAGAAGAGCTGAAGAAGCTTATGAAAGCGCCAGATTCGATCATCAGCGATATCGTTCGCAAGTTTTCAACGGGGAAGTGAGTTCTTCAATCCTGGTGACCTGTTGCAATCTTTGCTAACCTAGTTCTATAGCCAAATGCCTAGATGGAATGTTGATTATCTAATAACCCACATTTGCGCGTTAGCTCTCATTGTTGATCAGTTCGATGTCGACATTTTTGCGCTTCACAAAGACCTTAGCCGCGAACCGAAAGAAATTTGTGATTACTTTAGAGAGATTGGCTGCAAGATCGCCAATCCCACGGAGACAGAGAGACAACAAATGAGGATAACGAAGGCTGAGGCAAGTGACCATAGAATAGCTAAGCTCAGGATACCCCTAGAATTTCCTACGATCAAAGCTCGTGGTCAAGCAAAGAAGAGATAGATAAACAGGACTGTATCAAGCTTATATATGCAGCCTAATGGACTCTACCCTGTAGTGGCTAGAGCATCTTTCTTCTATAAAATATGAAATGCGAGTTTGCTATCGGAATTGCGCTAGGTGCAGCGCTGTCTCTACAAGCTGAATATATTTCGTAGGAGATTGGTGACCAAAATTGACAGCATTTGGACGGTATGCCGTCGCGCTCGTATCGAGTTTCACCGTCTAAGTCCAACTCGAACCGGGTGCTTGCAACTCGAATACCGGCAATTAGGAGTGACGCATTCCTTCCCATATTCACAGCCTAAAGTTGGATATATCGTGCGATGAGTCAAAAATAGAGTCTGTACCTGGGAGCACGTGTTCTTCCGAAAATCTCCTCATTGTGCCACGTGTAATGGGCGACAAATCCCCGTTTGTAAATATGTAAGTACCTGTTCCATGTTCAGTCACTACTCGGTGGGTCTATTGCATCGATGGTAGGGACAGCATCGGCATAACATCTCTGTTATAAGGCACGGAAACTTTATGGAGCACGAAGCATAGGAGCTGTAGGGGAGACAGTGGAGGGGTTTGCACTTCTGTGGAGTGTGATCAAAGTTGCATTGATTCGAGAGTAGTTTTAGAGATGAGTATTTGCTTTATATGCACTTGGCCGAAAGTAGTTAGATTATGGGCGCTCATGCTGTGGCTAGGTGGCCTTGACTCGACTCGACTTCGACCCTGAAACTTCTTCGCTGCGCAGATCGCAACACAGAGAAACACTCCTCTACCACATCTCACAGCCTTGAAACCACGAAACTCTACTACATTATTACATTAAGGCACTACTCAAAATGGTCAACCCTCAGATGTAAGTTAATTGAACCCGTCCACTACCTGTGTGTACGAGACCTAAGAATAGTATAGCTCCAACCTGGCTATCATCTTGGTGATGATGCAGGTTTCTAAAAAGATCGCCTTCGAAGACCCGAATGTCCTTAATATCGTTCGTGGTGTATACATCTTATCGAACATCATAATTCTTGGGATATACGTCTACGTCCAGATGCAAATAAACAAAAAGAAGGGTAGGTGTACATGGCGCATATGGCAAACTACATCGCTGTGTACGACAATAGCTCATTAAACGTTATTACAGACATGACCGTACTTAAGTATGTCGAGCCTGCGCCGATGGGCTCTGGGGAAGAACCAAAAGCTGTAACGACTACTGTCCACGCCTACGATCTCCAACAAGTTCGCGGCTTGTTTAAGGGTCAGCTCATGGGCGTTGGTATGATGGCTGTCATGCATCTCTACTTCAAATATACGAACCCTCTCCTGATCCAGTCGATCATTCCTCTGAAGGGTGCATTCGAGGGCAACCTGGTCAAGATCCACCTTCTCGGAAAGCCCGCTAGCGGTGACTTGAAGCGCCCTTTCAAGGCTGCGGGTGGCTTCATGGCAAACCTCCAGGGTGGCGAAGTGGCGACAGACAAGAAGAGTATTGAGGCTGCAGAGCGCTCTGGACGTGGTGGCGCGAAGGAAGAATGAACTACAGACAAGTTTGCGAATTGGAAGATGGCGAAGATGTAGGGTGATTAGGGTAATTGGAGCATTTGCCGTATCAGAAGTATCTTTGAGATCTGATTCAATAGACCACTGTCATGAATGTCTCGTTCATACAAGAGCAACATAATTCTTAAGTATGGCCGCTGAAAATATAACACGTGATGTCGTGTTTCGGCCGACGCCACCCGCTGCGTCACTACATATCAACCTCCATCTACTCAAAAGCGCAATGTTGTATCTAGAAACATGTCTGGAGGTCGTTTAACGCCACCGCCAGTGACAACACCAGGAACTCTACCCTCGTCTCTGACACCAGAACGGATTCGGCGTTTGGTGAGTAAACAGCTCGTCTGCCCCAATAAAGCTGACAACCGACTAGGAAGAGTCACGGTTGAGGGCGAAAGCACTGCGTACTCAAGATGACAACAAAAGAGCACAGCCGCGGGATAATCCGAGCTTGTTTGCTACTGGACAAAAGCGACCACATTCCTCCATCATCTCGAATCGTCCCAAAACCCAGCGCGATGCGTCGGATCCCCGTATCACCGTAGACGAGATGTCCCGACCGAGAGATGACAACGTTATACAGGCGGCGAAGAAGTTCGATAAATATGTCGAGTATGACTTTAGCAAGATGACGGATACAAAAGGCGGGTTCTTGACTGCCAACGACGATCCTCGAAATCGAGCGATGAATGTCCCTAACCAAGAAGAAAAGCCAGCACACATGACGCTCGGTGAATGGGAAAGGCATCAGTTATTAAAAAAACTCCGAGCGAGCAAACAGGGCATGTTCGAGCCTGGTATTAGCGTGCTACACAAAGACACGAAGAGGTGCAGGGAGTGCGCAAGCTTGGAAATTGATTGGAAATGGGACGAGGTGTTCGATTGTCAGGTCTGCGGAGCGTGCAAGGACAAATTTCCCGACAAATACAGTTTGTTGACTAAAACTGAAGCGAGAGAGGATTATATCCTGACGAACCGTACGTCTACGTTTGTAGTATTCCACTCTATCTATGACTGATAAATTTCTTCCATTACAGCGGAGCTTCAAGACGAGGACCTTTTACGGCATCTGAAACGACCGAATCCACATAAAGCAACTTGGAACGACATGCAGCTTTACCTCCGATATCAGATTGAAGAATATGCATTCTCGCCTCAGAAATGGGGTTCACCTGAGGCTTTGGATGCAGAATTCCAGAGAAGGGAAACGGACAAGAAGCGGAGAAAGGAAAAGAAATTCAATACCAAACTTGCCGAGCTAAAGAAAAGAACAATGGTAGAGGCCCATAAGCGTAAGATGCTTGGAGGTAGTGGGGACGTAGGATTCGGCGGTAGTCTAAAGGGGTCGAATGATAGACACGAGCATGTATGGGGGGCTCCAATCGAGGATCCAATAACTGGCGAAAGTAAAAAGAAGTGTATTAGTTGTAGTATGGAAGTAGAAGAACTCGAGTTTTAGATATAGTAGAACCATAAATAATATAAAGACTTCTTAATATGAGATATATATTATAGTCTAAGATATTAATCCATTACGAATATTAGATATATAAGTTAAGTATATAGTCTTCTATATAAATAGTAGTTCTTTATTAGTAGTATACTCTACTATTAAAGTAGTAGCTTTAAGATTTAATTCTTTTAGTAAAGATAGTTAGTATAAGTATAGAGTCTACTATTAGTATAACTAAGCTATAAATAATTAATATAAAATAACTAAGTCTATACTATAATAGTCTTATTAATATAGCTATACTAAGTATATATAATATAGATTAATCTAATTATAGTAATAAAATAGTTATATATTATAATATACTATAAGAATTAGTACTTTATATACTAACTACTATATAAAAATATCTAAACTCTAAAGCTACTATTATAAGAGTAGATAATACTACTTATAAAAGTCTAAATAATATATAGAAACTTATATTTTATATATATTCAATACTCTAAGATTTAGTTTAAAAAATTAAATTAACTTTTATCTAAGTATATATATATATATTTTCTAGATCTAGATAGATAGATAAGATTACTAACTTAATTATAGTATATACTATGAAGAATATTTATTCTATAATAGTATAACTCTAGCTTAGCTAGGGCTCTATATTCTCTGTAGTAGGTACTTACCCGCACTACGGTAACCTTGTATACTTTATTCTATCTAGGTATTCTATCTTTTACGCCGATCCTTCATTTAGGAGATCTCTTCTCTAATTCTATAAGAAGTACTACTTACCTCGTTTCGCCATGTGCGTTTACGGCATCTCGATTGCTTACCAGAGTGTATGTAACAAAGCACCTCGGCATCAAATCGAGACTCGGTTGCGCCATAGATGCGATACATCGCCACTGCCAGGCCCACCTTGTTTAGACGCTACGCGAGATGTTACGAAGGATGGCCTTCCTTCGCAGAAAGGCGGACCTTGTTTTGGGTGTCGGGATTCCGGCACGGGATCAGGAGTCTACATTGTTAAATGGGTAAGTTCACTCGTACTCGCGTAGTAGCTTTGTAGCTTATAATACTTAATAGAGAGACGTACAGCTATAAGAGGCTTATATATAAAGGAGATGATTTACTAGAACGACCGACTGAGGATATGGAAGACATAGTTGTAGTACTCATCTTAATGGAGAGGGCCTCTGACTTTAAGATTAGCTTTTGAGACTTCTAAATTTTGAATCACTGCATCCATTGACTCCAGGCCTCCGTGCCAGCACTTTTCTATTACATTGCTTAGTGGAACACCTGCTACATCTGGGAACTGGCATGCTGCGTAGAGCTGCTGAACATGTGCACCGCAATCCGCTAGCGATTCAAACTCGTGATAAGGAGGCTTGCCGGTAATGATCTCATACACCGCACAGCCAAAGGCAAAGATATCCGTGGTGCGGCTGACGTAAGGGTCCGCTCGCCGATAGCTGAACCATTCATAGCATGAATCCGCTGTCCCACCGTCGATACTGCATCCTTCGAAGTCAATGAGCTTAACATTACCATCCCTTGCTAGGATTAGATTGTTACATCCAACATCGCCATGGATTATCGCGTTGTCGTGAAGATACTGATAACCTCGCGCGGCACCTATCAGCCAGTCGACTTTCGTTGTAATTGATAAATCCGTAGCACGACAATCTCGAAGTATATCGCGAATTGCTGTTCCGCGCTCGAGAATAATCGAGCCATCGGCACGGACGAGCAAGAGTTTTGCAATATTTGGATGTAAGCCTAGGCGCTTATAGACGCGGCGCTCGACTTCCCCATCTTCACGAGACTCAAACTCTTTCCATACTCTTTCCGAGTCGATAGCGTAGACAATACCAGTCTTGCCGGCAGCTAGATATTGCAACGAACCTGGAGGAAAGGGTGGGTCGTGTTCCAAGCTGCTACGCCGGGCTGAACTATCGGTCGCACAGAAAAGATACCGGAGTACACCTCTGAGTGCGCCAGCAAAGCGACGGGCCCAACGAAAGCCCATTAAGGTCACTCTATCGAAAGGGACGGAGTAGTAAGGTCTACTTCGTGCTAAACTAAACAAAGGCCGTGGAGGACGAAGAGAGTATCGGCGCTAACGGTAGTAGAAGTGTCGCGTTAAAGGTAGGGCTCGATACATCGAGGAGAAAGAAAGTATTAAAGTTAAGTATGGAAAGTATTGTATGAAGACGTAAAGACTAAGAAGATAATCTAGCGAGTAGGCTGTCGCTCTACGGGCCGAGCTAGGCCCGGATATTCATTGTTTTTCTAGAACCAAGTAATTTAGCATTTATATAGTTATCTTACTATTAAGAGCTATATTTAAATATTATACTCTTATATAGAGCTCTAGTTCTATAATAGAAAAGACTATACTTATATAATTATATAGATTAATTTAATAGTATTTATAAAATATCTTTAGATATAACTAAAAAAGATAATCTTAAGCTTATTCTTATTATAATATATACTTTATTACTAGTATTCTTCTTTCTTACTCTCTTCTCTATTTATAAGTATATAAACTATAAATAAATAGACTTTACTACTAGTAATTTAATTAGAGACTTTTTCTAAAAAAGATTAATTTTAAAAGAGACTCTATAGTAGAAACTTTAACTATAGTTCTAAGATATATATTATAAAAGAAAATAGTATAGTAATATAGCTTTAAATAGACTAGTATACTTAATCTAAACTAGAGAAATAGTAAAATTTAGTAGAGTATTTTAGTTCTCTAATAAAATTATAATAGTAAAGAAAGATTAGATATATATATCTATATATAGTATATTATTATTTAATAGATAAATAAAATCTAAGAATCTATCTATAACTTCTTTAGTATAGCTTTTAGTATATATAATATATATAATATAAAATATTTTCTTATATTCTTAAAACTTATAGTTTTCTTAGTATCTCTAGAACTAGAACTCTAGTAAGTTTCTTTATTATATTTCTATAGAATTATAAAAAGATATAATATTTTATCTAGTATCTACTAGCGCCCTTACTAAAATCATATCTAAAAATTTACCCTTTACTATATATTAAATTAACTATACTCTTAATTAAAAATTTAACTAATAATTCTATAGAGAATAAAATACTATATAATTCTATATACTTTTTACTATCTATAGCCGTGTTATTATAGATAAGTAGAGTTTATAAGTCTCTAGTATTATGTTTAGTAGTAGATTTAAAAATTTAACTTTACCATGGATTTTCTAGCGTGCCTTAGTACCTTAAATTCAAGACTATAAGTAGTCTACTAGCCGTAGACTACCCTAGTCTATATCTATATCTATATAGTCTCTTACTTTCTATATAATAAAATTAATAAAAAAGAGTTAATAATAAATTAATTAATTATTTTAAGAAAAACTCTATAAAGTAGATAACTACTAAAGTACTAAGATATATAGTAGAGAAAAAAAGAAAATAAATATACTTTCTATTATCTATCTCTTAAAGATTATTTAGTCTTTTAAAGAGCTTAATAAATATTCTTAATAAATATTCTTAAGATATAATTAAAAGTATATATAAGATTCTAGTATCTTCTAGAGTCTTAAATCTAGAGATATTAAGAAAAATTTACGTTTTAAGAATATATAAGAAAAGTATTATATTATATATATAATATATAGTAATAGTCGCGCTAAAATAGTTATATATAGATAGAAATAACGCTAATAATATATTAATCTTTAAAGTATTTAGAGATACTATAAATGTTAGACACGTAGTCTACTAGTTAATTACATATGTATATAGTAGTTATATATAAGTAGTATACTCTACCCTTAAAGTAGTAGCTTTAAGATTTGGTTCTTTTAGTATAGTTAGTTAGTATATAGAGCCTAACTTCTTATATAATCTTAAAGCTACTATAGAGTTATAGGTTTAACTCTTAGTCTAGTTAACTATTATTAAAGTTTATATAATTCCGTTTAGCTTACTATATTATATATTCTATATATAATAGATAATATAGTAGTAACATTACTATAGTAAGTTAGTATATCTAGTACTAGAGGTGGCATTACGAGTATCTAATTAGGTATATATATAACTCGTTTATACTAGGCCTATTATAGCTAGTTTAGTTTATCTTTTATAAGATAATATATCTATAATATATAAGGATACACGCCTTTAAAAAGGGGAGATATTATTAGACATGTGACCTACTAGTTAATTATATATATATATAGTAGTTATATATAAGTAGTATACTCTACCCTTAAAGTAGTAGCTTTAAGATTCGGTCCTTTTAGTATAGTTAGTTAGTATATAGAGTCTACCTTCTTATAATAAAGTTAAGTAACTATAAAGTTTACTAACCTTACTATAAGAGAACTAAAGATTGTTATATAGATACTTTTATTAAAATATAGATATAGTATAGAGGTTCTTTATAGTAAGCGCGAATTATAGTAGTAATATTTAACAATACTAAACTTAATTAAGTATAAAGTTATAATTAAGTTAAAGAAATAGATAGATAGTATACATAGAAAGATTTATTAGATCTTAGAGTTCTTAAGTATAATTCTATGGCTTTCATACTATCTAGTAAAACATATTTAAGTTGTTAGTAGTAAAATTAAACTTACTTAAGGGTTTTAAGACTCTAGTCTATTATTATCTAGATTACTATATTCTAATTATTAATTGGTAGATATTCTAATCTCTTCTTTACTTTATTAATGTTCTATATATATCTATAGTTAAGGTAATTAATATTTTACCTTCTTATTATAGGCGTTTTAGTATTTATTATAAATAGAGTATAAATCTATTTAGTTACTAATACTATGAATTATATAGCCGTAAATAGAATAATTCTAATCTCTTCTAGTATAATAGAATATCTAGCTATAGTATAGTAACGTCTTATAAAAGTAAATATAGATAATAGACTCTTATTACTTATAAAGTATACCTCTCTATTAGATTTCACTTTATAATCTAGAATCGAACCGGAAGCTACACGTATTAAAGCTTAAGTAGTAAGTACATATACTTTAGTAGCTTTATATATCGCTAAGAACTTAAAGACCTTCTTATTAGGACTAACTTATATTTTATACTTACCCTTTCTTATACTTGCTATTAGTAATGAAAGTATACTATTAAAGTTCTATTTACTATATAAGTAGAGTAACCGAAGTATAGCTATATATAGATTAGAGTTATTGGCCTATATTACAAGGTTTTTAGCTATGGCTTTTATCTTCCTATAGTATATAGTATAATTATCTATGTAAGAATAGAGTTATTAGATAGTAGTATAGTTAGATAGAATAATAGAGTATATTCTCTTATAGAACGAATTACTACTAAACCCTTTTAGTAGAAATCTAAGAGTATATATATAAAGGGACGCCGATCTATCTAGTATATAACTATTTACTACCCTTTATACTATTATAGGAATATAACATATACATAGACGTAAGAGTATTTATAGAATATAGTAAGTTTAATAAGGGAGGAAGCCGAAGTCTACTCGGCTTCCTTAAGATAAGAGATAGAGTATACTATTAAAAAGAGGCTTACTTAGCTTTATTAAGTAAGGAGAGAGTAGTAGCGTAGGCGTAGTACGCTAGTATTAAGTATACCTAGGGTCTACCCTTAATATTACTCCCTCTCTCTACTTATTTATTACTAGAGTCTACTCTAGCTATAGACTACTTATAAGTAAGTATTATCTAGCTTATTTCCGCTAGCTTTCTAGAAAACCCTTAATAAAGCTACTCTTCTATATCTAGTTATTATAGTAGTAATTACTATTAGCTTATAGTAATACTTATTATTATATATAATACCCTCTAATATAGGCCTTAGCGACTAGACTTAATATCTACTATTAGATTATAGCGTGTATATCTTCTATTAAAAGGATCTATCTATTAAATCTATTATAGGTTATTTATAGAAGATAGTTTAATTTCTATATTAGTAGCTCCTTTTATATCTATATCCCTCTAGTACTAGATAGATAGCTATCTATCTAAGAATAGCTTTCTAACGTAGTAGTATCTATTATTACTCTAGTAGTAATAATTATTATTATAGAACGGTAGTAGCCTCTATTACTACCGTGTATAGTACTCTCTATAAGCTAGACTACTTAGATTTAATATATATATATTTACGTAGTAAGTCTAGCGAAATTCTACTAGACTTACCATCTATACGTCTACTTTAATTTAGCTCTATACCTTCTTAGACCTTAGCCCTATATCTTCTTAGACCTTAGATCTATTATTAAGTATATAGAAGAAAGAGTTTAGTTCTTTAATTAAGAACTATTTTTATATTAATCTATTTCTTACCGGGTACTTCTTAGTTAATAGAGTACCTATTATTATATATACCGGGACTATTTACTTATCTATTAAGAGTATATAAATAAGGGTTATTTATATGTTTTCGGAGTTATATATAAATAGATATTTATATATTATAGATGTTCTATTTATAATATTCTATTTATAAAGGTCTATTTATAATTTTAAGAGTCCTAAGTATAAAGGTATAGTTTTCCTTTTATTTTTCTAGACCTTAATAATCTTATCCTTCTCTATTATAAGATTAGATTCTCTCTTCTTATCTAGTTAGAGTCTACTTACTAATACTTAGGTTCTATAGATAAATAATATTATCTATTACTAGGGCTACGCCCTAGCTAGCAAAGACTATACTAACTAAGTAGTAAGTATTAGACTCTATATTATTTATATTAATTAGTGCGAGTTTATATAGATCTATATAGATCTTTATACTTCCTTTACATCTCTAAGAGGCTAACTTGGTCCATTCGGGGTAATACAGCGAGATACACACCTTAATCGATAGAGCACACCGAGTATACCAACTACTACTATACACACGTACGTGCAGCGTCGAAACCAAGACGTTATCGCCGTGTAAAGATATATATATACCCTCTTAAAATCCTCACGGAGATAGAGGCACGGACCACGCTACTAGAACGCCGATACGCCGACCCCCTTTTATTAGTTAAGGGTAGCCCTTAACTAATAAATATGGCGGCCTTAGGCACCGATATACCCCGGTATATACTAGATATACCCCCACCGGTACGATAGAAAAGGCTATATAGCGATATTACTGAGGGTAACTATATACCTATCTAAAACGTAGAATATACCTAAAGGCGTACGCCGCCATAGATAGACGGAATAAAGGGGACCCCGAGAGGGGAAACCCTCCT